CGCACGGACAAGGTCTACAATTTTTACTAAGGTCATTTTCAGGTCAGGTCAAAGATGACGTCACAGGGGTCGAAAAAGTCAAAATGGCGGCGCTAGATATGGAGAGGGTTTTTCTCGAATAACTTTCGAAGTAGTCAAGATAGGAACAAACTAAGGGCATCATCGTGATCCTCTCGTCAATCCGCATCGAATGATATATATGTTGACCTCGAAAGGTCAAGGTCAAAGGTTGACCTCAGGTCACGTGACCTCGAGGTCATCATGTATATCATTCGATGCGTCTTGACGAGCTGAACACAATGAGACCATCCGCGCGGCTGTATCTTGTTCCTGTAAGGAGTTATTGGCAAAAAACCTTTGGTGACCTTTGATGACGTCACATGACCTTACAGCTGCCCAACAGCAAAACAGACCTCAAGGTAGTGAAGGTTGATCGTATGTGAAGTCATGTATGGTATATGGGGCCATTCCGACCCGTTTTAGTGGTAAAAACAGGGAGTTGATTTTTCCCCCATTGACTTATAATGGGGAGGTCGCGAATTTGACCTGACCTTAGGTCACCGACATCAAAAATCCGAGATATACAAATTGTAGCTACTAATGACCTAATAACATCCTGCGACTTTCAAAGGCCTCCGACATCTACTGTAGCTCTGGCACGGTGACAAAGTTGCAAAAAAGTGACTTGAGGTTGGGTCATTCAAAGTGACCTGGTGACCTGACCTTAAAAGTTAGGAGGTTCAAACTTGCACACCATGTGTAAAATTGATAAGAGAATAGTCATACCAAATTTCGCGGCGCTACGCGCCGCGGTTTTCCCGCTATCCGCGAAAAACCTCAGGGGGGGGGGCGGATATCCGCCCCCCCCCGTCGGTGCGCGGGTTAAGCAATGCTTGAACGAGGCCGGTATGGTTCCAAGACGGTCTCCCATAATCTATTCCAGTAGTTCTGAGATGGAGGTGATCTCGAACGCAGTTCCGGCTGAAGGTCGAAAGAGAAGCTAAACAATAGTAATTACAAAGAATCGTGGTAGAATCGAGAGTCATATCACGGGCCTTCATCATTACAAAAATTGTTTAAACTCAATGTGAATGATGGAAAATTTTCCCATTCTGAGATCAAATCGGTGCACCCAATCCGATCACATTATGCGCTCTGGGCACTATTTTTCTGCAGACCGGAAACTAATTGCACTGTCGACGCGCTCGTTTGAGTCGTTTTTCACACGCCCGGTGCACTATGATAAACTACCCTTCTACTGAGGAAGATTCATAACGCAATGTACACAAGCTTTTTCTTCGTCACTTTTGAGAACATTGAGCAACTGGGGTCATTATGCCGGTGCGTGCACTTCTCAAATTACCTACACTAACTTCAGTTAGCTAACGAGGCGCCTCGTTTCATAGAGAAAGTTGATCTAAAGACCAAATGGGGAACTGTAAGGAACCATCAAGCCAAAAGCTGCATTTGCCATTTACCTGCGGTCTTTACAGAACCTTCCCGCAGCTACACTGCCCAGGATAAATATCACTGTGAAGTGATCTCAAATCCAAAGTTAACACGCGCAGTGGAAGGGGGGGGGCGGATTTCGCCCACCCCTCCTGTTTTTCGCCAATAACTCGCGCCGCAAGCATAATATCAATGTGAAATTTCGGCTACCTGTCCAGAATTGAATTGCGAATCTTCTCGTGCAAAAAGTAAGAAAATCGGTTCACAACTTTTCTAGTAATAGCGGTGTGAAGTCAAACATCCTGCCGCCGCGGCGGCGCGGCGGCGCGGCGGCCGGCGCTAGCCGTTACGCGCCGCCTGAATTGTAGACTGTGCCGGGGCGGGACGGTTCCGTCTTTACATCGCGCTCCTTACCGCTGATTATATTAGATTCGCGTCAAATTCGGTGAGAAGACTGAGAAATGTACAGGCAATCATATGGTCAAAGAGTTTTGAAAATCGGCCGGTAACAACTCGAGTTATGAGTGTGTAAACACAAAATTGTGATTGCCGCGTTTCCCGCGTCGGCCGATGCCGCTTCAGCCGGCGACATCTTACCCTTATCAGGCTTCTAACTGCCATATTTATTGTTGGATTATCTAGAAATTCACCATACATACTTACAAATGTTTGTTCTTTCATATAGTGAAAGATTAAAAAAATCGGCAGGTAACTTTTTGAGTTATCGGCGTGTAAACGCAAAAAAGTCGCTAATATGGCAGATTTGACCACATTTGACCTCATTTGACCTTGAAGATATTGACCTAGGGTCATGAAATTCACTCACAACAGAGTTCCCCATAGCCCCCACCTACCCTCCAAATTTCGTCTTTCTAGCTCCAGTGGGAGCTGAGATCTTAGGGGGGGGGGGCGACATCCGCCCCCCCCCTTCCACTGGGCGTAGTACTCGCAACCCTTCCACTGCGCGTGTTAAACCAGTATTTACAAGGTGTGGTTCCAGGCACCAAGTGACCGCTTTATAACTCTCTAATGAGGACGTCTTTCTCTCTCTCTCTCTCTCTCTCTCTCTCTCTCTCTCTCTCTCTCTCTCTCTCTCTCCCCTCTTTCTCTCTTTCTCTCTTTCTCTCCTCCCTCTCTCTCTCGCTCCCTCTCTCGTTCCTCCCAATCCCTCACTTTGTAGCTTTATTTCGAGTATCTCACGCAAAACTGCCGAGGTCTTCTCCCGCCAGTGAAGCGGCCAATTGGCATCAGAAGGCGCTGGCCAGGCCGGCTCGGCCGCATTTTGGCACGTGGACCACAATGCAAATAAACACAGCGGAAACAGTGACGACGGCGCGGCATTGGAATAATCAATACCGACTTGGCGAGATGCGTAGTTTATGCGGTAATGAATACTGATGCAGGGGCTCTTAAGAAGAGACCGCAGCTTCTTAAATCATAGCGAAGGCCCATTCAGAGTGAGTTAAGCGTGTTTGGGTTTGCACACCGACCACCGTGTGTAGAGATGGGTAATAATGAGGTTATCGGCTGTTTTGGACGGCTTCCAGCCTAACGAATCGATTTGAATCACTGGCCTGGAATGAATGCGTTACAGGAACTGCAATTCACAACTCACAAAGCTGATCAGCACTCATTGTTTTGTTTTCAGTTCCTGCCAGTACCTATATTATATTTTGTATTAGGTAATGATAATTTCCGATTTTAATTAGCCAAAAATGGTCAGAATACCTTTGTGGTGCTCTGTTCCAGCTTTCCAGCGACGTCTTTCGTTAACTACATACATTGTAATCATGGCCCACTATCTCCGGTGCATCAATGGCTGGCGAGTGGTATTTATGTAAGACCATCACAGCGTGATTTACTTCGCATTGAAAAAATATATATTTTAGGTGCATAAAAGCTTCGAAGCGCACCAGAACTCCACACCAATTGTTATTTCACCCACCATATGTTTTGAACGGAGGTATATCACTATTCTGAACTGTTCCATGCTACAAATCGGCTTTAACACGCGCAGTGGAAGGGTTGCGAGTACTACGCCCAGTGGAAGGGGGGGGCGGATGTCGCCCCCCCTAAGATCTCAGCTCCCACTGGAGCTAGAAAGACGAAATTTGGAGGGTAGGTGGGGGCTATGGGGAACTCTGTTGTGTGTGAATTTCATGACCCTAGGTCAATATCTTCAAGGTCAAATGAGGTCAAATGTGGTCAAATCTGCCATATTAGCGACTTTTTTGCGTTTACACGCCGATAACTCAAAAAGTTACCGGCAGATTTTCTTTAATCTTCCACTATACGAAAGAACAAACATTTTTGAGTATGTATGGTGAATTTATAGATAATCGAACAATAAATATGGCAGTTAGAAGCCTGCTAAGGATAAGATGTCGCCGGCTGAAGCGGGATCGGCCGACGCGGGAAACGCGGCAATCACAATTTTGTGTTTACACACTCATAACTGAAGTTGTTACCGGCCGATTTTCAAAATTCTTTGACCATATGATTGCCTGAACATTTCTCAGTCTTCTCACCGAATTTGACGCGAATCTAATGTAATCAGCGGTAAGGAGCGTGATGTAAAGACAGAACCGTCCCGCCCCGCAACAGTCTACAATTCAGGCGGCGCGTAACGGCTAGCGCCGGCCGCCGCGCCGCCGCGCCGCCGCGGCGGCAGGATGTTTGACTTTACACCGCTATTATTAGAAAAGTTGTGAACCGATTTTCTTACTTTTTGCACGAGAAGATCCGCAATTCAATTCTAGACAGGTATCCGAAATTTGACATTGATATTATGCTTGCGGCGCGAGTTATTGGCGAAAAACAGGAGGGGTGGGCGAAATCCGCCCCCCCCTTCCACTGCGCGTGTTAAATGATCTGGCAAATCGATTTGGTGTTCCGGAGCCTGACAGTGGCGGTCCCTTAAATAAAGCCCCGGCGTTCGGTATTGGCTGATTTCTGTCCACGACACGCCGTCCCGAACAGACGCTGCACGGCCGTGATCAGATAATGGTGGCGCGGTATGTCTCCTCAGGACAGCGGTGACGGCCGATCGGCGCCCGTCCATCGGACGATTGAGGCAGCTCGGCTGATAGCCGTCAACTGTCAGGGCGTGTCACTGACCGTGCTAGAATGACATCGTTAATATGATTAATGCACGGCTGTTATATTTGCGACTACAGCTCATACGATGTTTCCTGCTTTATGTTTATGGTATAAAACGGCAATTAGGAGCGCAAACTTCATAAACACAAACGAAGTGATAGTAGGTATCTGATAAAGTCAAGTGGCGCGGTAGCTTGGCACCAATTCAATGTTCATGACACAATAAATATTGCGGTTGCAATATGACGGAATCCATCTCTCCATGCATTGCATGTCAGCCAAATGACTGACAAACACAACTGATTTTATCCTGTGCCAAAAGGTGATTGAAGTGCAATATAAATTGCAAGATATGTAAACCATCAACAAAACATGCGACTGAATAGTTGCTATGGCCATTACAAATTATCTTATATTTTACAGTAGTAACACGTCGTTTCTATGTGTTTCAGTGGTGCCCTCACTGCTGGGAGTGGTGCTCTTCCCCCTGGGACTGGGCTGCTCGTTCGTGAGGACAGAGTGCGGGCCCGAGTCCACCGTGTACAGCTCGGGACACTGTGAGGTCGCCTGGGGCCTGGTGCTCTTCATCTTCACACTACTGGTCGGCGTCTACTGCCCCATCCTGGCGCGCTTCACCGTCGTCAAGGAGTTCATGCCAGAGTACTATTCCAACCTGAACTATTTGTAGTGCCGGCTCTGAGTCGTGTTTCCGTGATAACGCTCACATGACATGGAGATACCCGATGGATTATCGGTGATAAATCTGTTCGTATTTCTACGCACCGATGTGTTCGTGTTTGTGAGTAGGTGTCGTATGCCTGGGGCGCTATGTGTGTGTGTCAGGGCTACGCCAACCTTGCATGTGAGCTGTAGAAAATGTGTGGGAGCGGGTGGTAAGTGTGCCGCCGGGTGCGGGCCGTGCGTGCTGTGCGTGCGATTCACAGCGCGGCCGTAATCCTATTGGCCGGGACGTAAATCGACGCGAAGCCGGCGCCGGTTCTGTCGAGAGCCGGCACCGACGGACGCGGAATTAATTCGGCCGAATTCTCCGCCCGCGCCGTGAGAAATGGTTCGGCCGGACGTCGACGCGCCGAGGAATCTGCATCGTTAATCGCCGGCGCGGCACCGGCCGAGTTTTTCTTCTGGTCGGTGCCGACGGATCAAGTGGCAGAGAGCGATCGGAGGACGGCCACAAGGCAAAGGTGCCACCGCGGGGGGTTGTGGAAGTTGGCGGGATTCGGTGGCCTGAGGGATGTACAATATGCAAGGGGAGGAGCTAACGTGCACTGTTCAATCCACGCACTTATAATTGCTTTTCAAACAGTGGTGATAAGCTCCGCACGGAGTTCTTCATGTCGTATTTTGATAAACTGCTGACGAATACTCAGTACAACAGTGCAGTCGCAGACATCTTGTCTACCATCAGCCTCGCATCTCTACGTCTCGTCTTTTACTCTCAGCTTCAATTCTCAGATATGTAGGCATATGGCGCCTATAAATATTCTGACGGCCGGCAATTTGCAATGAGTATGCTATCTGGTGTGCAATATTTGTGCAATTGGTGTCATGCGTATTGCATAATTCATGACGGTTGATCTGGACGGCGCCGCCGACGGGCCCGTCCTGGTCCGCAGCTCGGCAGACGGATGTTCTCAGCTCAAACTGTGTGGAATCGGCGGGATGCACGGTGCTGGACTTCGCTATGCAACGAAATGGCCGGCCTGCGTCGTTTTAGATGTTTTGTTTTACACAACATACATGTGCTCATATCTGGTGTAGACTAAGTCGGTCGGCCATCTTCTCATTCCTTAAAAGAAAAAATGTTAAACGCGTAAAACTGTGCGAAACTCTAATGCCTCGATCATTTCTTTTCATTTAGTGATTACAATTGTGTTTATATGTAGATGTCCAATGAGCTTATTCGAATAAAATCATTGGAAAATAGCTAAATATCATTTATGGCGGCGGAATTTAAAACTTCTAGTCGCTAGCTCTTTTATTCCAGTGACCGGGTTAAGTTTCATTTTGGCACGACGATGGAGAGAGCCTTGCCCGAGCCTGGTCTGTGTGTATGCAAAGCACGTGGCGTGTGCTGTGTGACGTCGGGGCACGGTCTGTATCAAGGCTCTATAGAAGTCTGTATGCTTACCCTGCAGGGTCAAAAACACTGCTGTGTCTCGAACGGACATAATGCATCTTTGTACCAAATACATATTGTTGTCATCGTATTGTCTGTTTATGGGATGGTATGGAATCGTCACCAGCAGCACAGGGCGCACAACCGAAGGTTGTGCGCCCTGTGCTGAAAGGCTGAAGGAGCGCTGTCCACGTGCTGTATTGGACCAGCTATCGGGCTCTTTGCGTGTACTCCAGTCGCCGTCTGCCGTGAGCCACCGTCTAACAAATGACCCTGTCAGACCATCGAGCCGTTCAACCCCACGTCGTCAGAGGTGATGAACGCGCGTGCCGAGCGCAGCCGTCTTCTCCGCGCGCACGGGCGCCGGACGTGTGGTCAGGCACTGACCGCGTCCCCTGGTAGGGAAGATCGGGGTTCGAGAGCCGACAGTCGACTGCCGCCGGACAGTGGTCGGGCCAGTCCACTGACCGGCGGCGGCTCTGAACAGTCGCTGATTGGACGTGCGCTGGGGATCAGATAGCGGGGACTCGGAATCACTCCTCGACTCGCGTCCCCTCGTCTCTCCGCGTCTGATCTCTCCCCGCGGAGACGACATCTGGCGCTCCCACCTCGGCGTGTGACTCAGACGGCGCCGACCGGCACCCCTGCGTGACGTCACCGACCATCCATCACGGCCACTTCTGCTGATCAGCCGGTGACGTCAGCGGCAATAACCGGCAGATTACGTCACACCTCCCCGCCGTTTAATTATGCACCCCGTCCGCGAACCGCCGGCCGGCCAATCTTGGGTCGGAGTCGCTGGCCGCCGCTCTCAATCATCGCCGACCCCTCGGCGGCATGGCGCGCGGCGTCACTTCCATTTGCCCCCGGGGCACAGCGCACAGAGAATCCCACAAAGGTCTGTCCGGGGACACTGATTGAATCACCTGAGAGCTCGGTCACGCGACGTCTGATTGTCGGCTGTTTAGCGCTTCCCACGGGGCTGCGGCGGCGGCGAGGCGCGCGCCTGGTCAGTGGGGTCAGCCACAATGGGATTAGCCGCGCCCGGCTGGCGCGCGCCCCCGCTCGGCGCCTGTTGTCAGGACTCGATCGATGCACCGTTCTAAAGAGCTAAATTCGGTCGTCCCATTCAGGACAAATCACGAGCACGGTGCCCTTTGAGCTCTGGCAGGCCAGTGACCAGCGAGCCTCTCTTCTTGCCCAGGATTCCGAGTCAGACGGACAGTTGAAATTCACAGACGATTGTCATTTGACCGGTCATGGCTTTCGAACGGCGACAGTTAAAATCAGACTGCAGAACGGCAGTCAGCAATCGCAGCCGGGACCGAGCAATCTTTTTATTTCTGACAGTCTTCGGCCGTCCAAATGTCTTTATGGAGGCCGGCCAATAAATTCCCGGCTGCATGGCGGATTGGAAATTGTTCGTTCCGCTGCGACCAAATGCAGACGTTACCATGCGGCACCTATGTCATCAGGATTTATCGCCATCGCTGGACAAATCATGGCCTGAGCTATTGCACATTCCCCAATAATGCGACACGCTTTTCTACATTATCATGTATAGCTGTCACCACGCTATGTCATTGGCAATCCGAGGTGATTTATAGAGCCGACTCCGCTTTAGTCTCGATCCGACGCTCCCAAAACTGGGCGACGTGGACAGAGAACTACTATGCATTTCAGACCCCATGAGACCCTGTTTTTCGGCGATAATTTCTTCAATTTTTGTCCAATTAGCTTGAAATTTTGGCAAACGATATTTCAGCTCAAGCGCCAATTTTTGTCAATATGGTCTCTTAACAAAATATCAAAATTTAGAGCACTTGTTGTTGGCTCGTAATGTTAATCACTTTTTGCACCCGGATAGAGACTTGCTCGCTAACGCACCGGATTGGATAGGAGCGCTGGCCAATCACGTTACGCCGTGCTCAACTTGACTCCTCCCACTGGCCGTGACCGTGATGGGTCTATGCCGCTTCAGTCGGCGTCAGCACCGCGGAGAGGTCGCAGCGGGACCACATAATGGAGACAAGTGAAGCTGGCAAAGCTATTTCGGGACGAAAGCCAAAAAATTATTCCGTTCGAGAGCATTTGGTGTCCTCTTCTCCTTATTTTGGTATATAAACGTCGAACCAGGTCAGGATATTCTCAAGGTAGAATCTATTGGAACGGAACCGGCCGTAGAAGGAAAAATAGATGGACTCTTGGACTCTGAACATTTATTTAAGCCGGAGTTGCACCTATCTCATCGTCAGGTTGGGTCAGGTTACTACCCGATTACCTATAAGATCATGCGTAAGCCTCTGCATGACCCAAAAATATTGATATATTTGGCAGCGTCAATAAATGTTTCTGAGGAAGGCGCAGAAAGCAACCAAGTAGGATGAAGAGTCTCGGGCACGGCCGATTGCCTGGGGCATCGCTCCAGCAAGACGACCGTATTCGTGATTCGTGAAGCGGTGCGGGGCGCCGGGTGGGGCACAAGCGTAATGTGTCGTATGGTAGAAATGTCCCTTATCGCGGTGTCATGTGTGTTTTATATTGTTAAGACGTGCACAAAAAGAAATATGAATGTGGCAGGCGGACGTTGGGCACTACACGAGAACGATCATCAAGAAACACATATCTTTTTGTAAAACTTATGTAACAGTAGTCTGTCCTCAATGGTGAGGTAACTATCTCTAGGCTTTTACTTTTCATGTTTGCATTTCAACACACAAGATCTGGGGGTAAAGTTAGTCCGGCGACCCCCTCAACCTAAATCCATGATAAAATGGATTAGTCCTGAATGTGACCAATGCTTATGTTGCACCGGGATGATATAAATCGATCACGCCGGCATACATTCCTATTGAAATTGCATATATCAAACACATAAATTGCATCCTATTACCTAATGATGATTCTATGTATTTTGCAATTTGGACGTTGTCTGACGCCATACGTAATTTTACGCAATCATTTGAAATCAACAGCGTCTTTTACGAGCGTTTTTTTTTTCTCACAAGCCCCGAATCTTGTGTGGAAATCGATATTTTTTTGTGACTGAACAGGGTGTACGTACTATTGAGCGCAGAATCCGCGCTCATACCCGGGACCGAAGCGGGACAGGTCTGGTGTATCAGAGAGTGTACCGATAGTGTGCTGCGGAACAGTATCCCATCCAGGCGGCTGCTGTCTGGTGAACTTGAGCCAGCCGCCGTACGGAAGGTATAACCAGCCCGATAATTGCTCAAAGCCCGCGGACGCACACAGGGAGTTTTGAGGGCACTGGATGACATGACCCGTGCCGCTGTTTCCGTAACGAGTGGGGGAGGGAGGCCGGGGAAGGGGAGCGATTCATGCAGTCGCAGCCCGCGCGGAGTTAGTGCGGCAGTGTGTACTGTGTACAGGGTGATTTTTTTTACTTGTTAAAAAGTAATGAGGTCTAGTGGGGTTAAAATGCAAATATATCTTGCAAAATTATATGCCAGGATGACGAGCATTCTGGGACATTTTGATTTCATGCAGACACGATGCGAAGGAACGTCCATCGTGTATTTTACTTGTGCTTGAAGTTACCCCCTCTCTCACCGACACGAATCAGCCCGCCTGAGCACGTGTTGAACAGCACCATGGACTCCCATGCTCATTAGGCGGACTGAAAAGGCTCCTATCGCCCATTTTCAGCTCTGCCAGATATTTCCACTGTTTTCTTGTTATATCTGCCATAGCTGGGTCCAAAAACTAGAAGTTTAGGGAGGGCAGGTCGAGGATTTTGATACTGGCGGCCCTGATGGTGTCTGATTCACTGTTTTTCTTTCTCCCTGAAGACTGATTCTTCAAAAGCTGCTCATACGCCAGATGGACCGTTTGAAGGTTATTTATGACTACAAGCTTGTTCATGCGTTATTTAACGTCTTTCTGAGGTATCTCCTTGATCATCGTATGCTTCGAACTGCCTCAATGCTTCAAAATCATCGTTTTGTGTCGTTCCTTACTGAACGGCGGTGGACCATGCGTGCCCGATTGGTGGGACATTTTCAGGCTCCATTGGGGCCGAGGCCGTCGGTCAAAAGGGACAAATGATGACACCATACAAAATGTCCCAGATTTATCTATCACGTGCATTGCTTTTTTGCACGCGATTTTTCGATTTAGGGACCATCATTGACGTTTACTTTTTAACAGTTAAAAAAAATCACCCTGTATATTGGGACTATTTCTCCAGCAAAGTTTTGGGTTTGCTTGAAGTCCACTGATCACGATTGCTGTGTGCGGGGAGCGGGCCCGGGTGGTCTCAGCAGATAGCTGTTCCCCTACACAGGCAGGCCACCGACATGGTGAAACGGTGTATTACTGTAATATGGCCGACCAGCCGGGGAAAGACCCCTTTCTGTAGGAATGCGATTAAAGAGGCTTCTGTGTTTTAAGGTGTGCCGTTACGTAGTTTCGGTTCGTCCTGAAATTCCTCGCTCTCTTTGCTCTCACCGCAACGTTTTATAAAAAAGAACTGCTGTTTTTGGCCTTGCTCCTTGCTCTTAACCTTGCTCTTCCAGACCATGAGCACACTTTATTTACTATAAATGGAAGTTTGCCATGTTCTCCGAAAATGCTCATCTCACCTTAATAAAAAAAATCCGTTGCTATCAAATAAGTACCGGAAGCACAAATTTCACCGAAAGTCTGAGCCGAACTATAAGCGAAAAATGCTACAAATTCCATATGGCCACCGCCATTCTGTCTGAACTGGACTTTTTGTTTCTCCACAACTATATGGTAACGTAACGTCAATTCACATCTATTGGGCATGCGTCACGAATGTGTGCCCCTCGGTATTACCGTTATAAAAGTTGCCCGAGTCGGCGCTTAAGAACTTTGCAATTTAAAAATCTAACCCTCGACCGTGGACGGCATTTCGTCATCCTTTCCAGTGGAGGGGGGGGGGGGTACGACCCCCTTCTGCCGTTTCGAAACGCGGCGTCGTAGAGCTTAGCGGAAAAACAGCGTATTGCTCTCGACGAGAGCTCGCGATTGCGCATATTACTTTTGACCATAGGTCAATATTTGACCTAGGTTTGACAGGTTAAAGATCAAAGTTCGGGAAAATCG